GAGACAGAGTGTCTTGTAGTTTAGGCTGGCCTTGAACCTATGTAGACAACCATGACCTTGAACTCCTGATCTTCTGAGTTCAGAAGCATAAATATTATGTGTTGAAAGCAATTAGTTCATATATATTTCCAGTTACGTGTGTGTGTGTCACACACACACACACACACACACACACACACACACACACACACACACACACACACACAGACTGGATTTTTTTCCTTATTGGTAACCAACCAATTGCAGATTGAAAAAAACTGTCTAGGGCCTGAGAGATGGCTCAGCAGTTAAGAGCACTGACTGCTCTTCCAGAGGTCCTGAGTTAAATTCCCAGCAACCACATGGTAGTTCACATCTGTAACTCCAATTACAGGGATCAGACACCCTCACACAGGCATACATGCAGCCAAAACAGCAATGTACATAAAAGTTTTAAGAAAAGAATGGTGGCACATGCTTTTAATCCCAGCACTCAAAAGGCAGAGGCAGGGGGATTTCTGTGAGTCTGAGGCCAGCCTGGTCTACAGAGTGAGTTCTAGGACAGCCAGGGCTACAAAGAGAAACCCTGTCTCAGGAAAAAAAAAAAAAAAGAAAGAAAGAAAAAAAATTGTCTGTTGCTCTGAACACTTTTGTCATTATTCCCTAAACAATACAGTATAATGACCACTTGCATAGATTTACAATATATTAGTTACTGTAAATAATCTAGAATATGTTTAAAGTATATGGAAGGCTATATGTAGTTTATATGCAAACACTATGCTACTTGATATAGGAACTTAAGCATCTTTAGATCTTGGTATCTTCAGGGAAGGGTCTTGGAACAATTCCCAAAAAGCCCTGTGAATAACTATGAATGTATAAATATATCCACAGAACATGAATACACACGTAAATATGCATCAGTGTTCTCTCAAAGTATATCTACTGAAACAACTCTCCCTGAGAACTTTCTTATCATATGAAGTTAAAGTCTGCACTAAGAACTGAAAAGACCAGGAGCTGAGGGGATGGCTCTGTTAGAAAAGCACTTCCCTAGAGAGCACAGGACCTGAGTTCAATGCCCCAGAAGGCAGGTGAAAAAGCACATGCTTGCAGTCCCAGCCCTGGAGAGGCAGAGACGAGAGGATCCCTGGGGGTCAGAGGTCAGTCAGTCTAGTGTAATTAGCTAGCTCAAGGACAGAGAATCCTGTTTCCAAAGAGGTAGATGGTGCTTCTAAGGAGGACACCTCAGGTTTTCCAGAACACATACACATTAAAAAGTACTGAGTATAAAAGTCTATGTAGATTAGAAACAGTAAATTCTAAGGCTTTGCTTCATTTCCCTACCACTAAGGCCAAGGTCTTTTGAGAAGAATGTGTTAGAAATATTTCTCTAAGATGAAAAGAAAAATAAACAAGAGTTTTACTATCTTTGAAATAAACCTGGGGCTGGCGGTACAGCTCAATGGTAGAGAGAGCAGCTTCCTAGCACATACTCAGGGTTTGAGCCTCAGCATCCCACAGAAAATAAAAATAGAGCCAAAGAAACTGGTCACAGGGCAAGAACCAAACAAGGAAGACAACAGACAAAACAAATTGTTTACAAGTGTGAGGCCAAAGCTTTAGGAATCAGCACTGCCGTGAACGCACTTTACGGTCAGGGCCAGAAGCGCATTTACTTATACATACCTTCTCTGTCAAAAAAGCCTTGGAGAGCCTTCTTTGGATCCTTTATATAAAAGGCCTCCCGGTCCTGCTGAAACTCCAAGGCAATGGGGTTCTCTTCAGCCTCATCCTCTACAGCATCCTCGCCTGCAGGGCACAAGAAAGAACAAATATGAGGAGAGGAGACGTGAATGACAGCCTTGATCCTTCCAGACTGAGTAACGATATAATTAGAAGAGCTGGCACAGTGACACACACCTGTAATCAGTATTCGGGAGGCTGAGGCAGGAGGATAGTAAGTTCCAGGATCGCCTGACTGCACAGAGATAATGCTTCAAGAAACACACACACACACACACACACACACACACACACACACACACACACTTACTTATCTATATTTGAAAGTGATTAAAAAGATATTTGAAGGCATGGGATAGAACAACCACAGATCATGAACATCTTTTAGTTTTCTAAATTATGTAACAGACAAGACTTGTTTCCACAGCATTTTTTTTTCTTTTCATCACTTTAAAGACAACATTTACCTACTACACTCTGAAAAAGCACTGGGCTCTTTAGCCTAGGGGTCTCTTTCTCTCCTATTCGGGTCTTACTCACTGATTCCAAAACAATTTCTTAATTCCCCTGTCTGCCAAACAGACAGAACCAAACGTGATGCCAACGTGCAGCTTTATTACGGCTACTTTTCCTTTCCTTCAACTTCCGGCTTCAAACTGCGGTTTAAAAATGTGTAAGGTGGGACAGCAGGTAAAGGTTCCCACGGCCAGGCCCGACAGCCTGCTTCTGACCCCCGGGACCCACGTGGTAGAAGAGAACCAACTCCTGCAAGTTGCCCTCCAACACAAACGCACAAAAATTAAATAAATGAATTAATAGTTCCCAAAAGATCTAAATTGGTATCGTCCAACAGAAATATGAATGTCATGAGGGTAGTTTTGAATTTGCTGTTAGCTGCTTTTAAAAGGTCATTCCACCATAATAATCAATACAAGAATATGATGACAAATATTTTAATTCTTTTTTCACTGTCTTTGAAATCCTGTGTATAGTTTGCACCTAGAAGACATGCTAGTTTGGATGAGCCAATCAGACATACAGATAACAACTACCATACTGAACAGCACAGGTCTAAGTTCCCAGTGACTGCTTCCTTTTCTGACGCTAACCTGAGCATGCTAATCGGCTTATTCCTGACACTTTGCATAGTAATTCTGTATTGATTCTGTCTTCATATTTACATAGACAGGTCACACACATACAAGTGCCACAGTGCACAGGGAGGTCAAAGGGCGACCATTCTCACTTTCCACCATGTGGGTCCCAGGGATCAAACTGGGGTCATCACAATTGGCAGCAGACACCTTTACCTGCTGGGCAATCTCATCAGGCCACAGCTGCTTTCTTTTTTGGTTTTTGAGACAGGGTCTCTATAATGTAGCTCTGGCTGTCCTGAAACTGGATATGTAGATCAGCCTGGCCTTGAACTCGCAGAGATCCACCCTGCCTCTGCCTCCCGAGTGCTGGAATTAAATGTGTGGGTCACAATGCCCTGTTAGCCTCTGACTTCTATCTTTTTTATAGACCCGAGTATCCATCCTCCAAAATGTCTGATGTTTGTGGATATATTTGATAGTCTCTTGAATTTTTTGTACTTTGTGAAAATAGCAAGAAAGGTGAAATATCAAACGCTGATTTCTTAGCCAAAGGAATGAATTAAATTTTCCATGCCCTCCTGTGTGTGTGTGTGTGTGTGTGTGTGTGTGTGTTTAAATGATGAAGGCAATAAGTAAATTATATGGTGAGGAAGAGTATGTATAGTGCTCACAATTCAATTCCTTTATATCACTAAAGTTAATGAACCTGGGTTACTTCATTTGCAAATTACGCTTGCCCTACATCTATATCAAAGAGCCTTGAAGAGCTATCTGATCAAAAGCATTTAAAGGCGCCATTAGCAAGGAACTCAGAACTTGTTGGCAATGTCTTACCCATTCCCCACGTGCAACCCATCTCATCATCTTGAACATCTCTCTTCCCTTCGGTGGTATCTGTTTCCTCTTCCCCATCGGAGTCTTCCCCTAACATCTTCTTCTCCAGTAATAGCTGTTGCTGCTTGCGCAGTTCCTTCAACTGTGTTACTGTTAACTCAGATTCTGCCTCTCGGTCTTCCTCTGGTCCCTAATGAATCACGGGGGGGGAAATATATACAGATATGGATTCAGGGATGGAGAAATTATTTTCCGAGATACAGCAATGGACACAGTGGATCCAGACTGACCCCTATGCTCTTGTCACTGGTGAGTGGAAGAATGTTTTTTTTTCCCTCAATTAAACCTTAAAGAAACTCAGAATCCCCGCCTAGTGAAGTCCCAAGCTTCTTACTTTAGATTTTTCGACTTACCTGAAGGATAAAGAGCCGGGTGCTGCCTCCAAAGCGGAAAACGTGCCCCACGTGGACTCGACAGTAAGTGCGGGGCGGGATGCGAGTTTTGTTGAGGAAAGTGCCATGGGTACTTCCCAGATCATAGAGATAGAAGCCCCGCCCAGGGCTGTCGGCTTCTCCGTCGGGATCCGACCCCCGGTGCTGCAGCACCGCATGGTACCGAGACACGGAGGGATGCTCCAGGCATACGTCACAGCTGGCAAGCCTCCCGAAAAGGAAGCAGCTCATCCCTTGCAAGGTGCGGGTGCCAAGGATGGTGCCGCCCTTCAGGGTTTCGAGGCTGTAGGGGGCCGTGGCTGGGCTGCCCCACGATGGCTCTTGGTACGGCGGAGCCCGGGCCGGACCGCCGGAAGCCGCAGCAGCAGCAGCAGCTACCCGCGGGGATCGGGGCGGCTCCCCGGGTGGACTCCCAGTCTCCCCGCCGTCCGGCTGCGTCGATGATGGGACCTGGGGCTCCCTGCAGCCGGGGTCCAGCAGCACGGCGGGACATTCCTGCTCCACATCCTCAGGGGTTGGGGGGCTGGAGGCTGGCGCCTTGCTCCGCACGGCCGGAGACACCGGCAAAACCGGCTTCTTGAACTCGCTGCTGACTTCCTGCGGTGCAGGCGGTTCGGACTGAGAGGTAGGATCGGCCATCCTCGGCCGGGTGCCACCTCAAAAATGTGTCCCTCCGAAACCCCGGCCGCTCGCTCTCCACGTTCCCAGCTTCCTGCCGCCTTTCTGGACGGCAGTATTGGAGTTCCTCCTTCAAGACTCACCGAGTTGTAAAGGTGTGAATAGCCCTAGGGAGTAAGAATACCGGGAGGGGGGCGTGGGGGAGAGCTATCGTGGTGTTGTGCAGAAAGCGGACATTTTTAGGCGTTGCAACCGGCTGGTAATAACTTCCTGTGGCAGAGGGCGATTGAAAAGAAGCGCTTCCGGCGGCCTAGAGCCATTAATCAATAAACTAGGCTCTTAGGCTTGACCCAGTCGTCGCCTCGGACCTGTCGGAGTCGGACAGCCGCGTAGACCGCTCCTGGAAGACGGCGGTGAGTATTCGAGCCTTGTTGTCTGCCCCAGGGCCAGAGTTCCCCATGTGACTGCTGTCCTGGAAACCAGACTTCCCCGGAGCCTGTGGTTGGCGCCCAAGCCTTGCTGGTCGTGATCACCGAGCCCCTACCCTGCCCCTCCCGGGCCTAGGCTTGATACCCCTTTTCCTCCTGCGGTGAAGTCAGGGAAGGGGGCAGTTTCTTGCTAGTTCGTCCGTTCCTTGTTATTCGCAGAACGAATTGCTGAGGCGGCGTGTGCAGTGGCTTTACGAACCTGGACATCGGAAACCTATTTTCTCTTTCATTCTTTGTATTTATGACCTTGGCATGACACCGGGCCACAGCTCCCACGTCTGAAAAACTGGAAATAGTGGTGCTCCCTTTTTCACAGGAGTGTTGGAAAATT